TTAAGTAGCCTACTCATTGTAGATCACATAATGCACTCGAGAGCAATGAATTCGAGTCATATAAATTAAAACTGGGTTCCATAAAGATACATTGAAAATCTCGGCAACCTATTTTACTACCTTAATGATACCGCATACTTGACAATCTCGGAAACTAGGACTTCTAGCTTAGTGATATAAATTGTATTTTTTATACAACTAAATAATGTTTAAAAGGGAAGAAATAAAATGTATTTTTCACTCTGTGTTATATTCTAATAATAATATATCGCTTTAATGTACATCAGGTATAAATATACAATAAATAACTTAAATTAGGTTAGACAAGTACAAATGGCGGCCTTATCGCTCGGAGGCAATCTCTTACGGTCTTGGGATAACCAGCTGTTAACAGTCCAGTGGTTCGGACGTCGACTGCACTAAGATAGGAGGGAGTTCGATTCCAACCTAATTCACTTCAAGGCAACCGTGGTATGGAGAGAAAACATAAAGGGGTAGAGGTATAGGATAATGGCTGGTGTGTTAGGAAATAGATAAAAAGAGGAAATTAAAGTAGTATACTACTAAATACATATATTGTATAAAACCTTGTTGACTTGGTAGGACATCGATATCTCCCAAGTAATAATCCTTCACTAGTTTTTTTTTTTTTTTTTAAGTAAGCAAGTGTTTGTGCACACCTGATTGTGACCGGTAGGGAGTTCCACTACCGAACTATTCAATTCATACAAAAAAAAAGTACAAAATAAATAATCAAATTTATTCTAAATAATAACCAACTTTATAAAAGTACAATCGACTTCAATGCGCATACATCACAATAAATTATACATAACATACATAAAATTCATTCCCTAATTTCCAATCTTAGAGGAGGATTCGTATACTTAGTATACTTTCATGTACAAAAATATTTAGTAAATCGGTTCATAAACGACGGAATTTTACGGTAACTAACGAAAAAAAACATGCAGCCGAATTAAGATCCTCTCTCTTTGAAGTCGGTTAAAAATAGAAAAGACACCATATTTCAAGCATGCTGGCTGGTATCGAGATCCGGGCTGCACGCTTGCCACTTCATACAGCTAATTTTTACATCTTGAAGATACTTCTTCACAGTTCTACCCGGATTCAAAGCCCTCCAGTGTAATTTGCATACACTCACACACAGTTTATGTGTTCATGTAAGACCTAAACATCTCACTATCTTATTTAAATTATGATAGTAACGATAGAGATAATATCAATTAGATAGTGACCATTGTTCACTGCGGACCACAATTTTATTAATAATGCAATCCATAACATATTGGTTTTATTATTGTGATTTCTTTGGGTGTGTCGAGAAGTGTTGAGCAATAAAACATTTACATTCAGGACGATAAAAAACTGCAATAAAGTTATCTTGTGAGTAACAACCTAGTTTCTAGTCTTAGATTGTATTTATCTAGTGGTGAATCATGGCTTAGAATTAATAAAATAGCCTTTAATTTGTTATACTAATTTGGCGTAACCTACAGAGAGATCTTTAAATGGCTATTGGTGCTAATTCTCTTGTTCGAAAATTCTCTAAACTCAACTAAAAATCACTTAAAATTAGTTTAGTTCTCTCAAACAACGTTTCCCATTCTGAAAACGTAATATTTGACAGGACAGTTTTTTTTTTACTGACTTTTAGTTTAGTTTAGAGAGTTTTCGAACAATACAATTAGCACCATTGTCTATTAACAGGAACTAATGTCAGAATTAATATAGTTGTGTGGGATAAAACTTATTCAAAAACTATTAGCTGATGTAACTATTACATAAGGTATGTATACAAAAAAGAGGTTAGGATTCTGTTGTTTAATGTATGTTTGTTTCAACGCTCCAATTTAGGAAACTACTAGTCGAAATTGAAAAGTTCGTTTTCCTTTAATGAATACAGTGTTTTTTAAAGAGATATTTAGGCTTTATAAGAAGGTATCCGTAACCTCCTTTCTAAGGAGAGGCCTATGTCCAGCAGTGGACTGTTAAAGGCTGTAGATGATGATGATGATGATGATGAAGGTATAGGTAGTTAGGATAGTTAGGAGCATCAAAATGCTCATAAACTTAGGTGAAATTGCGGGGCTAATAATAGACTAGCCATTTAAAAATTTCTTGTTTTTATTATTGAAGAGCTTAAGTCATTTTAAAAAGTAAGTTTAGAAAAGTGTACTTTGTTTTATAATAATAGATTTAGTCGACTTTTTTTGGTACATCACGAAGAATCTGCCGAGAAACGATACTTAAGAAAATATTACACAACTTAGGAAACCTGTGTAATAACTTTTGCCAATATGCGTTCCAAATCTGTTATTTTTTCCAAATGGATAAAAAACCGTAATCTAGTATATAGTAAATAAAACATTTTTAATATAACGGTGCGCCATTATAGATTAAATGCATCTATACCTATGTACATGTACTGGCTTACTCTATTGTTTGAGCCTGGCCGAACGTTGACATTCCATTTTTGAATATACATAATAAAAACGATGCAGTAATGGCGGCATATTCTTTAAATTTGAGATATTTTTTTAAATTTCTTTTAATTATCACGATCAACGATAACCCCTCCGCTTCTACAAATATATTTTTTGTACAGAAATCTCTAAAACATGTACTTATTTTTTTTTTGTCTGTGCGGGAATCCCCTCTTATATCACCCGCCGGTGGGGTGATTATATCGGACACGAACCGACCAAAACCGCACGCCGTCTCGGGTTCCAGTAGCCGGCGTGTAGAAGACCGTCTCAGAATAGCGTTTCTCCCCCTCCTGTGTTCCCACACAGGAGGGGGAGAGACGCTATTCCTGCAAATAAAAAATCAAATCTCTACGCAGTTCAAATAATTTACAACTCATATATTTAATTTCTTTTCATTAAATAAAAAACAGAATTACTTATGCTTTTAAAAAAAAGTCCGAAAAATATTTATTATATTTTTATTTTACATAAAAACGAATGAGAACACGTCTCTTCGTCTAATGGTTAGCGATCTTGATTGCTTAGCCAGAGATCGTGGATTCAATTCCCACCCAGGACAAATATTTGATGATGAGCACGATCATTTCATTTGTTCTGGGTGTACATTATCTATAATATTGTATTTAGAAACAAATAAGCGTGTTTATTTAAAAACACATGATTTTTTACAATCAATTGGGCAAGAAAACACATTTCTAAATATGGTTTCAGATTTTATCGTTTAAATCGTCTCTGACTATCCTATTGGGTAATAAAATGTACGTAAATATGAAAAAACGTGTCATAAAACAATGCAATCTAAATAATAATGTACGCAGAGGCTTTTGTGAAGCTCAAGGTGCAACCTTGTCACAATATATAATTTTTATCATTTTTTTATCCGTATCTTTAATATTGTGTGCAGATATATTAAGGTTGTTCTTATAAAGTCACGTACACAAGATCTGTAGATAACATTACTGTAGTCAGAATAGACGTCTTGCCATTTTGAGTTGTAAGAGTGTCAGGATTCGTCTGGATTATTCCGACATATGGATGTCTATCACATCAACAGCCTATACTAGTCCACTGCTGGACATAGGCCTCTCCTTAGAAAGGAGGTTTTGGCCTACTATACCACGCTGGCCAGACGGGTTGGTATAGGGTTTGTTTCAAGTTTTCCTTCTCTTTGCAGTGCTGTTGTCCTGCTTAGTTTGCTCCCTTAGTCGGCTCTTACGACACCCACGGGATGAATTGGGGTGGTGACAATTTGTATTCTTAATCTGTCACCACACGGACTATGGATGTCTATATTCTTGAAAAATATAAAATATTACGTCAAACAGCTCCTTGTAAAAATAAAGTATTCATATATGTACATTAAGTCAAATTATTTGTGATTTGAATTTCAAAAGTTATCTAGTATAAAGTAAAGGTTATAATTTTTTTTATATTTATGCATAGCTTTAGCATTACGATGCATTAGCATGTATATGTATATATTAGCAGGATATATAGATGATAAATATTTCATAGGTTAAGACCTTATTTATTTCTCTAATTTCTGTATACCTATCACCAGTTCAAAATGAATCCAGTCTATACAAAGGTTGCCTGGAAGAAATTGCACTAAGCGATAAGGCCGCCCTTTGTACATTACATCTGTTCTTAATTACTTTATAATGTCTGTAAAACCCTGGTGTACAAATAAAGTATTTATCTATCTATCTTTACATAAATATATACCAAAATCATAGCCTTATAAAGATTTTTAAGTGAGGCTTGAAGCAATAAAACTTGCTGACCCAGTAGTTTCTAGGAGAGTGAAGAGCCGCTTGTGAGCTTATGACTTCATAGTTTTAATAAAACATGGATCTAACGATCAATCGATCGAAATTTAACCTAATTAATTATTATTAAGAACAAATACACATTATTTTATTTTTCTAATAATTTTTTTCAGATTATTATTAAAAAAAGCAATGCTAATAATAAACAATGGCGTGAGGGTTGTATGGAATCCCGTTCGGAACGAAGCTCCTGTCGCTTTTTGGTAGACGTTTGCTATAGTGTCTGCAAAAAGTCTTGTTACACATATTGCGGTCTTTTTTGGCACGAAGTTCCCTATCGCGCGTTACACGCTCTGAGCGGATGGAACGAGACTGAATGATTTGATCTGATTGTGTAACAAGACTTTTTTCCGACACTTCTTTGCGACTGGGGACCCATAGACTCCTCACGAAGTTTTTAATTGACTGAATAGTTTATAGAGTGACTTGACTGTTTTAATTGAGTTTCATTTTCATTTTTTTTTTCTGCCTAGTTTGGGATCAGACGGCCGTGTGTGAAATGTGTGAAATTATTATTATTATTATTTTCATTTGTTTCAGATAAAATGCTGTTCTGCAGATCCATGCATAGGAATGATTTTGTTATAAATGGGAAGATGAAATAAGAGCTCAGCGCACAGTGTAAAAATAAGTTTTCTAGTCAACTTTGTATTAATTACGAATGGATAATCAAGCACAAGAAACGAAAATGGCCAACAGTACGGTGAGTTTCACTAGATATTTTTAGTTTATCATATTACTTATTAAATGGCTAATGGCGAGTGATTATGTAGTAGTTTTCATAGTAAAGGCATATCTATACAAATAAATAAAATTGGAGTGTCTGTTTGTAATATTAAAATAACCGCTTTTTACTAAATGCATTTGTATGTTTACACGGTACATATGCCAAAATAACATTTTTTACAATTTTTGTCTGTCTGTCTATCTGTCTGTCTGTTCCGGGTAATCTCTGGAACGGCTGGACCGATTTCGACGGGACTTTCACTGGCAGATAGCTGATGACATAAGGAGTAACTTAGGCTACCTTTTTTAGACTAGCTTCGCCCCGCGGCGTTGCCCGCGGTTATAACAACAAACGCGGGTAACACCGCGGGTCTCAGCTAGTCTGTAATAAATACTAATAGTGAGTCAACCCAGCTACTTAGAGGAGCAACGTTGGAGCTCGGTATGAGTGAAGGAGAGCGGAGTCCCACCCGGAGGCTTCGTTTGCTAACCGGTACGCCCGTTTAGGAGTGTCACGTAAATCAATTGCAACACAAGATTACTAGCAATAGTTTTGTTATTTAGTAGTTAGTTTGGTATTTAGTTTAGTATTAATATCTCCAACATATTTTTTTTTTACATAAATATATTAGAAACTTTATATTATCCAGCCAATAAGTAATATATAATACGTTTTTTTGAAATTTTACCTACCTAATAAAAGTTTTAATCGTGCAAATCAGCTCTCTATTGATTCACCGCTTTCACGGACGATGTAACGGTTGTAACGATTGGTTTTGATTGGTGTTTTATTGGTTACTAGCTGACCCGCGCAACTTCGTCTGCGTCTCTCAATAGTAATAAATTTTCTCCGTTTTTGAAACATTCTTCATTGGTGCTCCGCTCCTATTGGTCTTAGCGTAATGATATATAGCCTATAACCTTCCTCGATAAATGGGCTATCTAACACTGAAAGAATTTTTCAAATCGGACCAGTAGTTCCTGAGATTAGCGCGTTCAAACAAACAAACAAACAAACTCTTCAGCTTTACAATATTAGTATAGTTTGGTGTAAAAATATGTGTGTAAAATGTAACTGTAGTAAAAGTAAGTGCAAATGGTGAAATATAATGTTGCGCAGAATACAGTTTCTGTCATTTACAACAGATAGTTTGATCACGATGATCATGTCCTCAGATATCCGATCAAAAATAGTATCGTCATCAACAGCCTATAACAGTCCGCTGCTAGACATAGGCCTTTCCTTAGAAAGGAGGTTGAAATTGGCCTACTATACCACGCTGGTCAGACGGGTTGGTAATAGAGTTTGTGTCAAATTTTCCTTCTCTTTGCAGTGCTGTTGTCCTGCATAGTTTGCTCCCTTAGTAGGCTCTTGTGACGCCCATGGGATAAATAGGGGTGGTGACACGCCGTATTCTTAATCCGTCACCAAACGGACCGACAGTAGTATTATTAGTATGTATTACATGTATTACACGACAGTAGGTATTGAAAACCATCAGTTACGTACTGTTGGTAATGTTTCAAAGTTAATCTCCCTACTAAAAGTTCTTCCCTGACCACTCCATTGCAACCACTGAATTGTGGCGCATTTAACCAGATAGCAAAATAAGCTAGGGGAATTCTTTCCTAAGCCGTAATATTGTTTATCCTACCATTGAGTCGAGTTCTGTGCTAAAATTAAACCTGCCTGGTGACATATTTTCAGAATCGTTTTTCTCTTGCCCAAGGTACCCTAAGTTATAATTTTACGACTGCAAGTTACGTTCTAACGATCAATTTAAGAAATATTACACTAACAATTGTAGTTCATAGAACAATGGAGCCGTTTTAGTAGTGAGTACTTAGTTTTAACTATTATTTGAAGGCTGAACAAGTATTGATATGGTCGATAGTAGTTGAAGATGTAGAGAAAAAGGACCAGGTAAAAGGCTGTGAACCAAAATTGGCAATACTTAGCCACGCCAATGCGTGCAATTCGTGGCAATACTTAGCCACGCCAATGCGTTCCAAAGAACAAAACACTTCGTTTTGTTTTTGGAACGAAGTCCTTTTCGCGGAATTGACCAAATAAAAACAAGACTTTTTCCGACACTATAGTAAACGTCTACTAAAAGCGGAAGGACCTTGGTTCTAACGAGGGGTCCATAGACCCCTCACGCCATTTTTTTTTACGTATGGGAATCCCCTCGGGCCGTCTACCAGGGTTTGCAGCGGGGTAGTGTGTCGGAATCGGACCGACTACAACCACACGGTGTGCTACTATGCGCCTCTAAAATGAGGGATCCGGGAACTGCTGTTATTAAGACATCCGGACTCGAAGTGCTCGAAGGCTCACAGAAAACCGGTGTGTGTTATTGGAGTGAGTGAAGTTATTGGATGCTGAACTCTCCACCCACAGACTCTGAGGAGGGGGCGCTCAAAGCATACAAATGGCAGCAATGCATTTGTGTCTCTGAAGGTGCAGGTGTACTTACCATCAGGTAAATCGTCAATCGCCCCCCATCTTCACAGCCTTTAGTAGTCCACTGCTAGACATAGGCTTCTACTTAGAAAGTAGGTTTGGCCTCCTATACCACGCTGGCCAGACGGGTTGGGATAGGGTTTCTCGGACCCGATCCGCCGCCGGCGAACCGGGCGGCGGAGGCGCGCTCACCTGCGCCTCATGCCGCCCTGAGTGTGGCCGCGGGTGGACGGGGTGGGTTTCCCCTCCACCCGCATTAGTTTGGCCAGCCGCGAGGGGGCGGCGTCCGCGTGTGCCGGACGTCGCCTAAAGAGAGGAAAATTTTGAGACGGAGCCCGCAACAGGAGCGGGCCGGCGCTAGGAGGGGTCCGGATGTCTTAATAACAGCTGTCCCCGAATCCCTCCTATTACAGGCGCAGAGTGGCACACCGTGTGGTTTTAGTCGGTCTGAGTCCGACACACCACCCCGCCGCAAAACCCCGGTGGGGTGACGGTCCGAGGGGATTTCCACACGTAAAATAAAAAAAAAAAAAAAAGGGTTTGTGTCAAGTTTTCCTGCTCTTTGAAAAAAAAATGTTAACAACCTCACTCATTCCGCCCGCATCAAAGCAATCGACCGACAAACACTCATATACTTCCAAGCACACACCAAAGACAACTACTCGTCCCGGGCAGGAATCGAAACCCCGATCCCCGGATCACCAGACCGACGGGCCTGTCTTATATCAGGTTCATATTATAAAAAATAACATTCAACGCTACTCTTGTGAATTTCGTTTAAATTATCTATTTTACTGTTAAATAGTTAAGGCCTTTTTTATGGTCTATGGGTGCAAACGAGCAGACGGGTCACCTAGTGGATAGAACCCCCCCCTTCACCTTCTCGGAATGGCCGAAACATGGCTCTCTTGAACTTCAAATCATCGTGTAAATCTTATGGTTAAGTATATGTCAGTATGTCACAATATTTATTTATTTTATGTTATGATATATTTATGGTTTATATTCTTATTAGCTGCATAGTCACGACAACTTAACATTTGAAATGACAACCGGACGTGTGAAATCATTTGTTTTCACACGTTCAGTAAATTATCACGTCATGGCTGTAAACATATTAAGTACCTAATGATATGAGGAAACTCGCTTCTCCCTCTAAACCTCTAAAACTCTCCCTTCTCTCAGGTGCACTCTGAAGACCAATTCTCGTAATAAAAGTTCGGTCAAAAGTCAATACCGATCGCCTCTCGATCTCACAAATATCATAAACGGTATTTTCGTAGTAAAATATTAAAGTATTACTAAGACTAGCAGATTACCGATTCAACTTTCGATTACAATTCGATATAATCACATTACAGTCAACGTTTGATGTTTCATATTTTAGTACGAGAATACCTGTTATGACATTTGCGAGATCGAGTGTCGATAGGAACTGAATTTTGATGGAAATTTTATTACGAGAATTGGCATTCCGTTCTCCTCGAGTATTTATAATAGTTTTCCTCGAGAATTGCTTCGTTGGTCGGTGGCGACATTCCGTATTCTTAATCCGTCACCACACGGATAATTTCTATTTTACGGATGGCCGAGCGGTCTAAGGCGCCAGACTCAAGGTTTCCTTGCTTACTAAACGTGAGTGCGAGGGACCTGTCTGAGGGCGTGGGTTCAAATCCCATTTCTGAAAATTGGTCGGTGGCGACATTACGTATTCTTAATCCGTCACCATACGGATAATATCTATTTTACGGATGTTTCAAGTCTAGATAAAAATAAATGAAAATTCATTTTACAAACATTACTGCAAGATATAAATTAGAATAAATTACAGATTTAGAATTATGTAGTGGTCAAATTTCGACGGTTTTGAATGTCTTAAGTACTTGATTTACAGTACCCATAACTTAAATTGTCATTGTGTAGAGTTTTAAACTTTTATAATTCTGCTACTTCACAGGATAGTCTGCTTACGTTTAGACGAATATACTAGCTCATATTACGCATATATACGAGTATGTTATTTAAATATGTATTTTTAACGTTTGTCCTAATCTTCGTCCGTAATCTTCCGCACTCGGTGAAATGCAACAATATAATTGCATAACAAACAAAACTGACTGAGTATTTTTATATTCTATCAAATTTATGTATGTTTATTTATGTATGTGTGTTTACATTTTGTGTATGTATTGTGTCTGCTTCTGGTCTTCAACTATGTCAAATTTAATATTTCATTTTTGCACCTACCGCATCATATTTCTACATCACCATGAAGGTTGACTGGGAGAGAATGCCCCATGGCATTAAGTCCGCCTTTGTACAACATGTGCATTGAGTTTTAAATAAATGAATAACTCCGGTAGAGCTTGCCCATAGTTGCCAATGCGTGACTCTCCCACAATTATATAATATAATATTTAACAACAATGTTACGTTTTGTTTATTATTGACATTGAGGCATTGTTTACTTATTATTGTTATAAAAAATAAATAATCAATATCATTGTTTGATGAGAAAAATAAATGAGATGTGAGACCAACTCGATTATGTCACTAGTATTCAGTCAGTCAGTCAGAAAAGCAGTTGATATTAACAATAGTTAATGCGTATTATTTAATTAAAAACATTTTTAGTGAGTACCAGTTGTGTTAAAAGCAAATAAAAATTTAAAAATAATTGTTTTAAGTAAAATTAAAATGAATAAACACAAAAAATATATATAATGGTTTCTTTTGATGTACAGCTTGATATATTTTGGTGCTTGAAGTGCTGTTAGATTCTTTTTGATTGTGAGTGACAATGGGTATATGAAAATTGGGAAAATTGGATCGGATTTTTTTATCAAAAAATCTTATTCTATATAAACTGGGCGAAAAAAAGGATCACGGTTCATTCACGCGGGCGAAGCTAGTCAATGTATAAATTACGTTGTAACATTTACTTTTCTTGTGCAGATTCCAACTCAGGGTGAAGTTGAAATGGGTGATGTCCAAAAATCCGAGAAAAACGGGCAGGTAACTGTATTTTTTATATTTTTTATTACTTAAAAATTAAATCCAATGGCTTAAAGGAAATTCAAACTAATAAATAACTTAATTTCTTTTGCGTCGCATTATCGCGATAAAAAGCCTATGTCCTTCCTCAAGAATCAAACTATCTTCATATCAGTAAAATCAGTTCAGGGGTTATTAATTCCCCAAACAAACTTCCACCCCCCTTTTCACCGCTTTCAAGAATGATTTCTGGGATAAAAACTATCCTATGTCCTTTCTTAAGACTCAAACTACCTCTATTCCAAATTTAATCTAAATCGGTGCAGTAATTTAAGCGTAAAGAGGTAACAGACAGACACACTTTCGCATATATTATATTGGCATGGATAGTATGTATATTAAAGTAGGCATCGATTTAAGCAAAAAAATAAAACTTTCTTATTGAACTTTCGTTTCGTATTTCGTATATCCTACTACCCTTTTTTATTTAGAACCTCAACACTTTTATAGCAGTGCTCTTATCATCACCAGCCTATAACAGTCCACTGCTGGACACAGGCCTCTCCTTAAAAAGGAGGTTAAGTGCGCTTATAATGGTTCCTTTTAAGGAACAGGACTCTCAAACGAACGGAACCACATAAAATAAATCAGTGTTTAATTATAAATAATACTTTATTTTTTTAGGTAAACCACGATATTCTCGAGTACCAGCCTTCTGGGTGGCTGGAGACGACCCTGACCAGCGTTGGCAGTTCTACCGATAGCTTTTTCAAGAAGAACAAGTCTGTTATGAAGACTATCACGCTATTTATGCTGAATGGACTAGTTATAGGATATTTTTTTGCGTGTCTATATTATTATTTAAGTTATGGTAAGTCGGATTGATGACTTTTTAAATTAATTTTTGTAAAATACATGGCGTTGAGTCTTGAAAACTTTTGTCCGAAATTGACTTGTTAGAGATGGGGAAGTTCCTTTTTTAAAGTGTAGGCAAACGAGAAGACTGTTCACCTGGGCCTCAATTCTGCTATTTTATGTTTACGCCAAGCCAGTGTCATACCCCTGACACGCTATTGAGATGCCATCGAGTAGCCATTGGCATCGGTATAAATATCGGTAGTTGAAAATATATTACGTTTTTTGAGGAAATGATTTATTTCTTTTTATTATAATAAATTATTAAAAGAAATAAATAAATTAAAATAACTTATTAAAACAATAAAATTAAAAAGAAAAAAAAAAAAAAATTAAAATAAATTATATTAGCTTTTACACAAAATCCATTACAAGTACCTACAAGATTATATTAACAATGGACGACAATAATGAAATACGTAGGGCAATAATTAATTTAACATTTTACAGTTCAGACATTTCTGAAATGTAGATTAGCTAATTAATTTACTTAAAGCGCCTATATTTTGATTGAGTTAGTTGTATTACATCATCCTCTATTCCCCCGTGAGTTAGACCATTGTCTTTAAATCTAACCTCATCAATCATCAACAGCCTTTAACAGTCCACTGCTGGACATAAGCCTCTCCTTAGAAAGGAGGTTTTGGCCTACTATACCACGCTGGCCAGACGGGTTGGTATAGGGTTTGTGTCAAGTTTTCCTTCTCTCTGCAGTGCTGTTGTCCTGCGTATTTCGCTCCCTTAGTCGCCTCTTACGACACCCACGGAATGAATAGGGGTGGTGACACTCTGTATTCTTAATCCGTCACCACACGGATAAATCTAACCTATACTTAATTTAAAAAACAAAACAAAAAAAAAAAATACAAATGTTGAGAATATTACGTAAAGTATACATCAAAAAGCAATCTATTTGAATCGTTCTTTTTGGAGGCTGTCGAAAAAAGCCGTTGACGTGATCAACTCACTTTGTGTAGTTAACGTTGGCGTGGAATTGTGTAGTATGGTACGCGACTGCAGTCCATGAGTCCTCGGGTTCCATTCCCGGAACTAGATTTTTTGTAGGGTTTTTCCGAGTGAAAAAATAGCCTAGCTACCTGGTAGTAAAATATTATCAAAATAGGTCCAGCCGTTTTGAAGATTACCGGACATAAACAGACAGACAGACAAAAAACATTTAAACTAGTTTTTAGAAATAGGTATCGTGCAAATAACCGTGTGAGTATGAATAACCCTATTATTTTGACATTACAAACAGACACTTCAATTTTATTTATTTGAAGCATTATTTTTTAAATGACTTCTACGCATGACTTTAAAAAAAAGAGGAGGTCAATTTGGTGGCATTTTTTAGTTATTTCCTCAAAACAACTTTACAAATTAATGTCGTTATTGGTTTGATTTATAAAGTTTTTTCGACTGATTCCCACGTACGCATGACTGTGCCCTTACGTTTCTCTGCTTTGCTGGCAAAAAACTCAGTTTTGAGTTAAGCTCGCCTTTGTATACGAGTATAACATTTCCTTGTAGCCTACATAAATTTATATGTATGTGTTTAGTGTGTACAATAAAGAATAAATGAAATGACAACACTGCCATGTATGTATATGTGAAATTATTTGTTTATGTGAGAGGGTATACTTCCCGTTCGGTCACATGCCAATTTGAGAAAAAATCCCCCCCCCCCCCCCCCCGCCTAATAAATTTAGAATTGAAGAATTCTGACTGCAGCGTTCATATCCTCGCTTCCTACTACCCTGATTGTTGTAGGTTCGATCCCCACATGGGACAACACTTTGTGTGATTCACAAATTGTTGTTCTGAGTCTGGGTGTTCTTTGTGTACGTTTTATGAATGTATGTAAAGTCCCCGTACAGGATAATTATATTCTTTGTGCTTGAATTGTCTTTTAAAGAAGAATAGTTTCTATTACGAATACAAATATTAGGACATAGGTGCATTGATATCAATAATAATTTTCCAAAGATTTTTTTTCAGTTAATAAACCGTTAGAACTCTGCTATGGCTTCGGAAGTCTTATCACGGTTCTGAGTATAATATACTTCTTCGTCGTATACTTCATGGTGGTGAAGAAATTAATAGGGAAATGGTTTGAAAATACCGTTTGGTCGAAGGTTGAAGCCGTCTGCGGACATGTGTGGAGTTCTGCGTAAGTAGTCATAGATATAGAACTCTTTATTTCCCCACCATTGGTACAGTAGAAGTGTCACATACATGTGCTTGACAGATTTTTATGGTATGGGAAACGAGCAGACGGGTCACCTGATGATAAGATGAGAGAGTGATGAGAATGCCTTAGGCATTAAGTCCGCCGATGCATGTACTTGTGCAAAAAGTTAAAAATAAATAAATAAATAAGTGACTACCCATGTACAACTGCAACTCTAGAGTCACAAGTGCGTTGCCGTCATTTCTGAAGGCTTTAACCCCCCTCGCTCCTACCCCGCCCTTCGTTGCCGCAATTTCAGTGCCTTAAGAGTTAGAAAGAGGGAGCTCCTAACTCTGAAACACCGACTCGGAATAAGTGATACCAAGTGAAAACAAAAAACTCTGCGGAAAAACGAGAAGTGGGGGGGGGGGGGGGGCGTTTGTGGCGCTGTGGGCAGCAATAATCACTATCGGAAGTTTGCTCGTTTGCCCCACATGCCATAGAAAAAATTTCAACTTGGAAAAATTTCAACATTCGTTATTTGAAAAACATCGAATAAGGTTGTATATGATTACGCAATGACGTATACGCAGAGTAATAGCAATAAAAATATATCGTAGATTAAACTACAGCTCAAAGCTAAAATGAAAAAAACTGATCATGAATTAGTGTTAACTAAATTGAACTGCTGCGGAATCATTGAACGAATGATTACGGCTACGACAAAAAAACTGTAGTCATTAATTTGATGATAGTGGACAATTAAAACTCTCAATAAGTCACGAGAACACGCAGTTTCATTATTGATTTGCTACGTTAAGTATCTTAATTTGAGGTCGCTTAAAACTGGGTTAAAATTTATTTAAACACGATAGTTCAATACTATGTGTTGTATTTTTTTGTTAAGTGCGTTTGCCAGATCCTCTTCGGAAGGTATTTTAAATAAAAATGCCCTTTTCTCTTACTTATATCTATGAAAACAACACTTTTTGAAAAAGTTACGACTAACGATATCTATCGAACCGAGGTGTAATTAACGTTACGTTAGTTTCTATGGCATGGCGGCCCATTTCAACAAAATTTTGTGTCTTGTTTAGGTTTGACAACTTTTGATTGTCACCTACCCGCATTTAATTAATAAGTTCATAAGTTGGTCTTACTCGTAAAAATATAAACAATAAATAGAAATATAAAGTGACCAGAAGAAGAAAAGAAGGAGTAGAGACCAGATACCATTACTACCATAAAAGTTGATTAGTTTAACTATAAGGAACTGTGTCTAAGGAACATGCACACCCGTTTATTTCAAATGCTGTAAATACTGATATCCAGTTCCTTTAAGCGAGTGATAGACGGTTCTTGTGGCTTGAAGGCTAATCTTCAAGATGGCAATACCGCCAGCCTTTGAGAAGGGCAACAAATAATACCACAGTTAAGATAATAATTACTTGGTGTAATATGAAGACGAATAGATGATCTCTCTTTTATAGTGACAATCTCTATTCACAGGACTCTTCCGAGCCACTATAGCAGCTCCTAATTCCATCTCAGACTACGTTATTTATTTATTTATTTATACTTTATGCACAAATGTGACACAGGCGGACTTAATGCCGTAAGCATTTTCTACCAGTCGACCTTAGGGCGATGCAGAGTTTAAAAACCCACATTACCTTCCTCCCTTGTTCCTTCTAGGAATTCCACATCAAGGAGGGAGTCAGACAGGCAGCTGACAATAATTTAATTTAAACATTAATGAATAGTCCACTACTGGACATATGCCTCTCCTTAGAAAGGAGGTTTTACGACGCTGGCCAGACGGGTTGGTATAGGGTTTGCGTCAAGATAAACAGGAGTGAAGACACTCAATATTCTTAATCCGTCACCACGGGGAGTTAAAACATTGTACTGGTCCTAAAAATAATTAAAATGAGCAGGCAAGATGAAATGATGACGAAAAACTTTAAGCCGCGGAACTTTCTAGAACTGAACGAAGTAAAGCCTGATTTCGGCTATCTCCGCCACAAATACACGTAGCATAGATCTAAAAAGAAACTTAAAGCTGAATGAACTGGCTATCTGGCCCATTCGATCGCTTAACTGAATAAAAACATCCAATCCCATGAAGCATAGAAAAAACTATTAATAATATTGACTTTTTTCACGCTATTTCCTCGAATTGCACTAAACCGTGGATCCTTAAATTTTTAGCTTAAAAATCCAAAAACTTAAATATTTGGAGCTTCAAAATGCTTTGTTACTATTTTCGAAATATTAACCAATTTTTAATTATTAACAGCCAGTAAAAAATTTGGGTTTTTGTTGCTTTAACAATTGTCAGAAGTATATTTTTTTATAAACATATTACTTATAGATCTAGGAAAATACAAATAGATATCGCGACCTCTGACATCGCTGACGAATTCTCAACCTCTGCACCGTAGGTCGTTAAAATTTATTTCACACATGTACTTCTTGCAGGTTGTTCCGCTGGTGTCTAAGCCTGGGAATATTGGCTGCCATCGGTTTATATCTATTCTTCGATGCGAGAGATGAGCCCTACAGACTTATATCTTTATTGGGACTCTTCATACTGCTTCTCTTGGGTAAGCTCTACAGATATTCGAACATGGTACGAACTGGGCATGCCTCGATGGACCATAGTCCGTTACTGAATAATAGCTTTTTAATGTGAAGTCGTACGAGGACTCCGGTTGAGAGGTCCTACGACCAGGTGGCAAACCGGAAAATATTGGTGAATCAACAAACTTTATAAATAAAGAGATATCATCCAGAAGAGACCAGATCCAGTCCGAACCATGTTTGAACATCTCTCAGCAGTTTATAAACTGCTAATTTAATAATAGAAGTACTAAAAGGTTGATGTCAATGTCGATCTATCTATTTTTGAAGTGAATACTTCTTTAGGCGCGTTGGGCATTTTTGAACAACAAATATAAGAACGTATTTTTTGAGATGGGAAAAAACCATTGAACGACACTGTTACCGTTACCGACACCTCTGTATATAAGTATCTATATATAGTATAAATAGTTTACACGCGAGTTGAGTTTGTATTGAAATACATTGATAATCTTATATATAAAATTCTCGTGTCACAATGTTCGTTCCCGTACTCCTCCGAAACGGCTTGACCGATTCTCATGAAATTTTGTGTGCACATCGGGTAGGTCTGAGAATCGGCCAACATCTATTTTTCATACCCCTAAATGACAAGGGTAAAATTTGAAAAAAAAAAAAAAAAAATTGTTTGTTGTTTTGCCGTATACATTATTTCTAGGAAATAATCAAAATAAAATTAGAGGTCACCCTTATCATAAAAATAGATGTTGGTCGATTCTCAGACCTACCCGATATGCACACAAAATTTTATAAATAACGGTCCAGCCGTTTCAAAGGAGTTAGGTAACAAACACCGCGACACGAGAATTTTATATATCAGAGAGATATTGTGTACAACATACGAGTATATACTCGTCGGAACGTTTGGAATCGAAAAAAAAACAAAAAAAAACTTGTTAAAATCAATAAAAAAAAAGAAGTTTTCACTTCTGTCTGCACTCCCGGAGTGCCACTACTATTTTTTGGGATATCGTTGCTCTTAAACGGATAAACCAAAAAATGTGTCAAAAATACAGAAATTACACTTAATCCTTGATCAGGTACAATGGATGTTTCTCTATGCTCAGTTTATAAGTGGACCAATGCCCCTATTTTCAAATTAACTATTATCCTTATTTATTATTATATTATCCTATTTTCAAATTAACTATTATCTTAATATAGTGTAATAAACATTTTTATATTTTACGCTGAATCCTAATTCTTTTTCCAAAATAAAACAAGCCAGCCTTATTGTCTCAACTATCTGCCATTGAAAGTGCCGTGACGTGCCATGTAGAAATTATCTGTAACAGTTTTCAGAAATATATAAAGTTTAACAGCAGTCTGGTTACAATAGCACATTCTTTGCCTAGTTTGTGATTAGACGGCCATGGGCGTAAAATATGGTAACTAGACTGCTGATAAACATACTTACTCATATTTATTGTTAAATACATAAATTACACCCAGACACAGAAGAAATGATCGTGCTCATAACACAATTATTTGTCCTTGGTGGGAATCGAACCCACGCTGACTTTGCAATCAGGGTCACAAATCACATGATCAACAGGCCCGTGATATTAAAAAAAAATGCTTTTGCCTGATTATGCATGAATAATTAAGAGAGGAGAGGCCTATGTCCAGCAGTGGACTAGTAAAGGCTATTGATGATGATGATGATGAAATCTCTTTTAACTTCAGGCTTCGTATTCTCTGCCCATCCGGGTCGCGTCAACTGGAGGACTGTCCTGGTCGGTCTTCTCCTTCAGTTTCTGTTCGGGGTGATCTTCATCAGGTGGTCTCCTGGCAGGTTGGCCTTGCAATGCTTCTCTAATAAGGTAAGCCAAAGTCAAAATATCTTTATTACACATTTTATTTATTTGAAATCGTCTCTTATGTCGCCTCGAAAGTCATAGATCAACACACACCATAGCAATAATCTGTTTTGTCAAATATTTAGAAAAATGGCAAACCTATCGAAAATATATTACATGTGTGCCGATCTACAACCACCCGTTTTTACCTCACGGCCACCCTTTTTAATTACTAGATAGAATCTTGAACTGTTATTGGTAGGATTTTTTTATTATATTACTTTTAAATCGAAATGGAAATAAAACTATTACGCCTCTGTTTACGCCTTCATGTATATGGGATTGAGTGTATGATGATGATAATTTTTTGCCGTAAACAGCCACATCTGTAAATAACAGAAAAAGCATTACCATTTAGGATACCCAGTGTTTTCCCCTCGGATAGGGCTTGATTAGGCATGGTGTCAATTCGGAGCGGACCTGAAATAACATGGTCCGGGTCCTCCCAGAGTAGGACACCTAAGGCCGGCCATCAGGGTGGTTTTTAGTGGAATCACAACATACTCCTGGCTCCTGAGTCCCCGAGGAGCAGGAGATGCGAAGGAATTATCCACCCGTCAACAAAACAAAAGGTTACCCAGTGTTTTGTAACCAGTATTATTAATTTTGTGAAAAGTTTTTTCTTTAAAAATTCTTCAAAAAGCCAACTCCTGCAGTAGGAATATACCCTGAGTCCTAACCTAGGTATAATAACCTGAGTCGCGGGGGACTTTTCAAACATACATGAAACGGACACAAAGAACACCCAGACTCAGAACAACAATTTGTGGATCACATAAAGTGTCGTCCCATGTGGTGATCGGACCCACAACACTTAGCGTAGTAGTAAGCAGCGTGGCGACCGCTTAAACCACTATGCCCTCCGTGCAGTCAGTGCTAGAGCTAGAAGATGATCAGGACAAGCTTTAGAATAATCAATAAATTTATTAGTTCATTAAAATCACGTCTGTAATTCATCGGTCCCAATTTATTGGAATATCCTTCATAATATTCGTACTCCAGTGTCAGGAATTTTAATCATGAATTGCTTTCCATCAGGTGGCTACGTTCCTGTCTTACGGAGTGGACGGCGCAGCGTTTGCCTTTGGTGAACTTCTAGTGAGAACCGAAGGAGTTTTTGCATTCAGTGTAAGTACATATTTGCGAGATATTAAACTGCAATCACAACTTGAACACTTCCAAATGAATTGAGCTTCAAGATGTCGTTTTGAATGCTATTCATCATCAACAGTCTTCAATATTCCACTGCTGGGCATAAGCCTCTCCTCAGAAAGGAGGTTTTGGCCTACTATACCACGCTGGCCAGACGGGTTGGTATAGGGTTTGTTCCAAGTTTGCCTTCTCTTTGCAGTGCTGTTATCTTGCGTAGTTTGCTCCCTTAGTCGGCTCTTAAGACACCCACGGGATCAATAGGGGTGGTGATACTCTGTATACTTAATCATCACACGGACTATTGTTATTATTCAGTCTATTTTCTAATAATAAAATCAAATGACGTGCAGAAATGTACTACATTATATTTTTTATTATCCTACTATTTTTATAATATCGTGAGGAACTCACTCCACTACATAAACATTACATTTTTGAAATACATAAATTTGAAATAATATAATAAACTTAGCCTATGGTCACTAAAGCTAGTGAGTTTGACTATCACCAGGTACAGCATAAATCCCAATAAAACGCCAGCATCATCTAGAGGCAGGGCAGGATAAGTTTTTGTCAAGTAGTCAACAGCATAATAATACTGCACGTTGTCTTTTCAACCTCCTGTTTCCATGAAATTATTTAAAACCTCATTTATGAATTACTAAACTAGAAGGGTCGGGGGTTCTTAGCTTAACTAAGTGTAATCACCGATCCGGAAGGGGTAAAAATTAATAATGTGTCACGAGTCGTACGTTATGGGTACGTTCCCTTTAGGAGTGAAATTGCCTCTGATTTTTGAAACATCATTAAAGCTAAATTCGTGCATAAATTGGAATGCAATTAGTACCAAATTTCAACAAACTGTTGTACAGTTTGGCAGAAGTTTTTTTTAAGCCATTTATTCATCAAAAAATAAATATTTACATAATTAAGTTCCTCGCCAAGCTACACAGCTTGTTGGCGAGATACGCTCGTTAACGTCGTTTTTCTATGTAAATATATTCATGAAAATTATTATTTATATTTTTTTTTTATATTCTGATTTAAGATCTTTATTTCTCATAAGAATTACAATAATTCACTTACTGAGAAACAATATTCACAAGATAGACTTAAAATCGTGTACAGAAACAAACTTAATTATTAATAGCTTAAAGGTAAACAACAAAAGTACGCAACAATAAAGGTGATAAATAAAAGCTACAAAGTGGGTATACTGCAAACTAGTTCTAACGAACGCTCGAATGTGTTGTCGACAGTACACGGACGTTGCAACTACACCGCTACTGGATGTGGCACGCACGACTTATAAAATATATTGAGTTTTCGTTTATATCTTTAGAAATTAACCAAATACATCACGTAGTATTTATTTTTATTTAGTGTTTATAAGTATGTATGTATAGGATTTTTTAATTATTATTATTATTACTTAATTTATGTTTTGTCAAAGATATATGATTTGAGCCTTTTTTTTAAATAGTCATGGTAGTAGATTCTTTTATTAAAAGTGGCAGCGCGTTGTACATTTTAACCCCTTCGTATTCTATGCTTTTTTTTACCGTAGTTAGTTCTGGGTGGACGTGTTACTAGGTAGTTAGAGTTACGTAGCTTGATTTTTTGTGATTCTTGTTTTTTTGTAAATGACAAGGTGGTGTGAATGTCTTTCTTTAATATTTTTCGTATTAGTATGCATGTATAGTATGTGTAAGTTTGTTTTATATTCATTATCTTTGTGTCGTCATATATTTTTTGTATGGAAATAAAATAAAATAAAATAAAATATTAATTTTAATATTAATTATTAATATTATTTATTCGTTCATATTTCGAACTTGGATTCTTGGGTTTGTTACTAGTCAAAACGAAATCTCGCTTTTCAAAAATGTGTTTTTGTGTTTCACCTTTTCAAACTAAAATTTCTTTCTTCTTTGTTCCAGACTCTTCCAGTGATCTTCTTCTTCAGTATGTTAGTGGAAGTGCTGTTCTTTTATGGAGCGCTGCAATGGTTCTGTACAAAACTGGGGATGCTATTGAGATCAGCTACTGGAACCACTGTCTGCGAGAGTGTCATTGCCGTTGGAAATGTGTTTTTGGGCATGGTGAGGAACATGTTTAGGCTCGAAGTCCAAGTCACGACTCTGTGAAGCCGTGGTATCACTCCGGCCGAGCCTGGTTCATTTGGGTCGAAGCATGGCTCTCCCATAGTTATATTTTGATACGCCGCCAGGTGGTATATAATTATTGTAATTAAAACGATTTCTTGATTTGACTAGTATTATATGTAATCAGCACATTACAGAGAGGTATCAACCTTACGGTGATGACAGCAAAACAATGAATTAGGGATTGAATAAAATCACAATCAAATTAGATAAATCATATGATTTTTAAATCTTATTATCACATCTGCGACTGATTAACAAAACCACTGCGACTTAATTATTATTATTACGCTAGCACAAGACTCGCGAACCGTCTAATAAAAAATGGCATTTATCTTTGTCTGTGACAAAATCACAATACCATGTGAAATCACTGTGACTAAAATTAATAATTATAATTAATTATTTCTATTAATTTTTTAGTGATAATTTCTATGTCTACAATGAATATATACTAAAGTATGTTCATAGTGCAATGCATCTTAGTGACGTGACATATTAATCTATTAAACTATTGTAGTGATGTTACAACACCCACATATTGTCATCCATTAATATTTTTTTTAGATTAAACAAAGCGTATTTTCTTTCTTTTCCTATTTCATCCTAAACGATAGGAAAATATACTTCTATTGATGATTTCGTCTCTTGTTTTAGACCGAATCCATTTTACTGGTCAAACCATACATCGCATTACTGACACAATCTGAGCTCTTTGTCATCATGGCTTCGGGATTCGCCACTGTTTCCGGTAAGTCTAATTCGTACTCCAATAATTTGAACTCCAGGGACCCAGTGCGAGTTTATTTCACAGTGGTGTCCGCATCACATCACGACACCGTCACCGTCATGATCTAATAGATGTGAAATAAACTTATACTAGGTCCTCTGTTTAAGGGTAGGGCGCCTGATGCCAGCCGTCCAGGTAGTTCATGGCTCCTGCGTCCCCTAGGAGCCGGAGATCCGAGATGTGAGATCTCTTTATTAAACAGTCGTTTATCGAAATTAATCTATAATTAATGACCTTAAAATGTTCTGTCGCAATCTATTATGAAATCTTTTTGATATAATGCGAACCTACTTTCATTTTGAAATGGAATGTCAAGGGCAGATTATAATTTATAATGCAAGTACCGATAAGTACGATAAGATCTGTTCATAAGTATGTCTTAATAATAATAATATAGAATATAATATATTTTACTACATTCACACAACGCCATCTAATCCCAAACTGAGCAGAGCTTGTACTATGGCTACTAGTTAACTAATATAAATACCTACATATACACTTTTTTTATCTTTAAAGTTTTACATACTTTAATAATAAAAATGGTATCAAAGAATATCCTCGAAGACGACTGGATGGCATAGTGGTTTGTGTAACGGACTGCTATTCCAAAGGTCGCGGGTTCGATTCCCGCTCAAGTCAGACATTTGTGTGCATTTAATGTTTGATTTGGTCTGGGTGTTTCTATGTAAAATATGTATGTATTTACAAAAAAAAGTACATATGTATTTAAATCGGTTGTCTAATACCCATAGTACAAGCTCTGCTTAGTTTGGGACTAGATGGCGTTGTGTGAATGTAGTAAAATATATAAATATATTTACTTAAAGTTTATAACAAAGGACTTGGCAAAACAATTAATAAATGAAAAAATAAATAAATTTAAAACAATATTTTTGCAATTAACATTATGAGATTTGTGATTGTGGGTTCGATTCCCACCCAGGACAAATAATTGTGTGATGAGTAACATCATTTGTTCTGTGTCTGGGTGTAATTTGTCTATTACCAGCTAACCTGGTAAACGTTGTTCTGCCATAAAAAATATTTCTAGTGAATATTTTGGTAGTTAAATAAAAATAATAAAGTTATTATAAGTGGGGACAGGGTCTATGACTTTGGTAACAAACACCGCTACACGTGAATTTTATATATTAGATTAGATATGTATGTAGTTAGAAATATATAAGTATGTTTATCAGGAATCTGGTTACCATAGTACAGGGTCTGCCCAGTTGAGTATGAAACTGCCGTGTGTGAGATGTGTGAGGTTATTTATTAGTGTAATCCCGAGTCTTCAGTACAAAAACTTCGGTGGATCAGAAGAATCCTATAGAAATCTGATCAAGATCTGATAATGCGATAATTAAACTGATTAAACCTGTTAATCATGAATAAATCTTAAGGATTTCCACTCAATATAAAAGAAGTACAGTCTTCACTCTGATAAAATTATCGAATAATCAACATTTGAACTGAAGTCATATGCTATATTTTTCTTCTTTCCTTCTTCCATCAGGTACCATCCTCGCGGCGTACATCGGATTCGGCGCAGACCCTCAGCATCTAGTGACTGCCAGTATTATGTCAGCACCAGCTGCCATCTGCTACGCGAAGCTCATGATGCCTGAAACCAAGAGATCTTTAACCACCGTAGATAATATACAGCCTGTGATTAGGTAAACCAACTTGCTTTAACCAGCTCAATATGGGTAAAGTTTCACGCAGAATTAAATAAATTTCAAAGACTGCATTTTCACTGACTGCACGGATGGCGTAGTAGTTTAAGCGGTCACCTCGCCGCTTCCTACTGCGCTTCTATGAACTATGAACTATATAAGCAACTACCGGCCCCCACAGACACTTGTCACTCAAGACATATAACTCAGTACGTCGTCACCCTTTCTTTGAGAGACCCCCCCCCCCCTCCACCAATTACGGGCGAGGAGGTCACCGGTAATCTTATAATGTTCTATAAGTTGGCCTTAAATCTTGCTATTTTTAAATAGACCATTTTCCAGTAGCAAGTGTGACGATATTTTTTTGATTGAATTAATTTTTCTTCAGATTGGTTTTATCTAAACTTTTAAGGGGAGGGGGAGGGGGGTCTTAGGAGACGATAATGGCAGCTTTAGGCTAATTGAAGCCGGAAAACCGGCCACTTCTTTAACTTCATCTTGTTCTTTACTGGTTACAGTCCAGACCAGTCTGCGCTCTCAGCAGCCACTCGAGGAGCTACCAATGGCATCAGTTTAATCCTAAACATCATCGCCAATATAGTAGCCTTCGTGGCCTTCGTATCATTCGTCAACGGTTTCCTTGGCTACTGTGGGGGGCTGCTCGGGGACCCAGATATCAACCTGGAGTTTATTCTTGGGAAGATTTTTATCCCACTGTGTTGGGTTATGGGTAAGTATTACGTTTCTACCTTTTTTTTTGTCATAAAGGAGTCATAAGGGAATCATAAGTCACAAACCAGCAGATGGGTCACCTGATATTAGGTGCCTGCCGTCACCCATGGATACCTTCAACTCGAGTGACTGCCAAGGTGGTGCAATGGTAGCGTGTACGACTGCTGTGCTGAGGTCTCGGGTTCGAATCCCGGGTCAGACCAAATATTTGTATGATCTGCAAATATTTGTTTCGGAGTTTAGGTGTTTTCTATGTATTGGTATGTTTTAAAATAAAAAGTATATAAGTATTCAATCAGTCAATCTAGCTTCCATAGTACAAGCTCTGCTTAGTTTGAAACTAAATGGAATTGTGAGTCAGATGTAAAAAAATATTATAAAAATAAAAGTTTAACAGGAATTACATCTGCTGACTAGTGGACCCTGGTGGAAATGTCAGGCAATTCAAAGCTATGTAATACCTATTTCTGTGCATGAATAAAACATTAATAACATTTCTCTTTTAATGTTTAAAAATCTAAACGATCTTAAATATAACAATATTAAATAAATAAATGAAAATATTCGGAATCTTCAAAATTTATTTGGTTTCTATAATTTTATGATAAAAAGGAATACTAACAAAATCAGGTGAATTTGGACCAATATTTGATGTACTTACACTATCTTAGTACACTAAATTAGTCAAGTGCGTATCTATCTCGGGAACTGAGGAAACAAATAATCGGTTTTCGATAACAACGTTTTGTATTTAATGCAATTCCAACTTGATACATTCCCGCGTTCTTATATTATTATTATATTATTAGTTATTATATTAGTTCTTACGAACCCTAGAAAATAAACTGAAGTAACCTAAAACTTTATCTGTCGGCAATTACAACCTTAATAATGATTTGTGTTTATAAATTCCTTCTATATTTGTACAGGAGTGCCGTGGGAAGAATGTGAGATGGTAGGAGCTTTAATAGGCCTGAAGACGATAGTGAATGAGTTCGTGGCGTACCAGCGTATGGGGGAACTGAAAGCAGCTGGGCTCTTATCGGTAAGTTCCATACACATCTTGATAAGAATTTCATTAAGACCAGGTAGCTCAATTCTATTATCTTCTCCGGAGTTGCGGCATCCCTTACCCTAGTTCATAAATGTGATTTTAAATAATTCTTTGCAAATGGCAGGTAAAAAATAAAATTTGGCTCATATAATAAGATGTAAAACTTTTTTAGCCCAGAGCTGAGCTGATTGCGACATACGCGTTATGTGGATTCACCAACCCAAGCTCTGTGGGCATCATGATTGGTGCCATCGCAGCCATAGCTCCTAGCCAGAGGGAGAACTTGTCTAGCGTGAGTATTGTAACTATACTTATTAAAAAGGACAGAGAACAAGATGAAAAATGACGTCTAGTCAGTTAGACTGACAACCTGAGGAATTGAATTGGACAGATTGAATGTGGACGGTGACTGAACCCCATGTCCAGCAGTGATCTGCAATAAGTTGTTTTTTTATGGTACCTACTCGGAGCAGACGAGCAAACGGGTCCGTTAATAGACGCCTGCAATTTAAAAGTCACAACTGCGTTGCTGCCCTTTGAGTCCTCTTCCCAAAATTAGGCGAGGGGGGAGGGTCGGGGAAATTATGGGTAAAGGTATGATGCTCTGGTGTAACTGATGGATTAAATGAGTTCTTGAGGACAAACGTATTGTAGGACACCCACAGGCCATGTGCAGTGATTTTCCCAAGATGGCTGGCAGAAGCTGGATGCGAGAAGCCGAAAATCGATCGAAGTGGCGTGCAGTAGGAGAGGACTATGTCCACCAGTGGACTGCGATAGGCTGATAATCATGTGGTATTACTCCGGTCGAGCCGGCCCATATGCCGAAGCGTGGCTCTCCCACGGAAGATGATTGATCATATTTAATGTTATCTTTTTTATATTAAGTACCCCGAAATTAACTCCTGGTATCGAAGTATCGACTGGTTTAGTTAAAAAGGTGTTTGAAATTCATTTTTATCATTCTAGATCGCAGTCAGGGCCTTCTTCGCCGGATGTGGTATTTGTTTCATGACAGCCTGCATAGCAAGTAAGTAAACATGGGGTGATAAACCGTCTCTACTCTTGATATAAGGTTCTACCATTTACGTCTAGAGGACTCCGTCAGATGTGGCTTACTTAGTAGTATACCGAAGAGTACTGTGTTAAGAGTAAGGCAGGCGCTAGGAGGGGTCCAGATGCCTTAATAACAGCTGTTCCCGGATCCCTTCTACAACAGGCGCAAAGTGGCACACCGTGTGATTTTAGTCGGTCCGATGCCGACACACCACCCCGACGCAAACCCCGGTGGGTGACGGCCCAGGGTTACCACACACATTCATTATATGACATGAATCCATGACAATCAGTGTAAAAACGATCTTATGTGTTGTGATTAAGCAAAGAATATATAGCTTGAGTGTTCGTGCGCTCAATATTCAACCTTATTCGTTTGTAGTGTAACTTTCATTTTTGTTTGCGACTGCTTAGTATTGCTAAATATCCCCGATTCAGGAACGCCTTTAGCGTTTAGACAACAGCTGATGATCTTCGAACATCATAGTTTTTCTAAAAAAAAACCTTTAATTAAAAAATAATCAATAACGGTCCATCTGTTTATTAGCAATGATGCAACAGATAGATACAGGTAACCTTTGCGTCAAGGGTTAAAATAACTTATGAAAACCTTAACCTAAATCTAACTTGTTTTCTTACGTGTTACAGATATGCTGATGCCTAGTAGCGCCTTTGGATAAGCAACATGACGTGATATTAATAACTATTTAGTAAAATTATAGTTACTAGCTTTTGTACGTTATTAATAACTTTACTATTTATTGTAAATATATAAAGATTTTTTAAAACACCAATGTTTTACTTATTTTCCGATACAAACCTGCAGTACCTGGATGACCGAGCTATATATATATATATATATATATAATATAATGTAATATATAATATAATATATAATATTTTAGACATCTGACACACAACGCCATCTAGTTTCAAACTAAGCGAAGCTTGTACTATAAAAGTTAGAGTGAAACAATACTTATGTACTTTTTTTTTGTAAATACATACATATTAAGTATATATAGAAAACACCCAATTCCGAAACAAATATTTGCAGATTATAAAAATATTTGGTCTGACCCGGGAATCGAACCCGAGACCTCAGTTTAGCAGTCGCATACGCAACCACTGCACCACCGAGGCAGTCAATATATATATATATATATATACAATATACATACAAGAATTGCTCGTTTAAAGGTATTAGATTAACCTTCTCTTTTACTTTTTTAATAGTGTTGCGCCATAGGATTGAGTGGTTCTTGTGTTGTGTCTGGAGGACAGCGCCATCTAGTATCAACTGGGCCACAACGCTACGAATTGAGATTGTGGTTCTGAATTCCGATACTCGCTTGCTGTGCCATCTAGTGTCAAATATCGGCAGATTATATGCTATGCTTTATTTACGTGTTTTTTTTTTTGGCTGGAACATTTCATCGGATATTCGGGATCAGTCTTATAATTTCGATAGCACTATAAAAGCGGAGCGTATTGGCCGTGCGGGACAGTATTGTTTTTCGACACAGAGATTGAACATCGAAGCGAATTTCTAGTGCGACTAACGAGTTATGTAGTGATTTCTTGTTTGTAATAGTGAGTGTTTGTAAATACAATATAATAAAAGTAGTTAACCGACTACTTTTATTTATTACATTCCGAGCTCGTAACAATAGTATAGGAGACAAATGAGCAAACAGTCCACCTCATGTAACTCCTGCCACTCATATCAGGCCGGCGTTTGATTCCAGTATCTCACTCGGTGATATAAAACAAAGGAATTATTTAGATCCAGGTGTCTGTGAGCCATAGTATCACAACGGCCCGTTATGTGCCGAAGCAGGCCCTCCCACCGTAGATTTTGGTCGACGCAATATACATATACAAATCTCTATTTCTCTTACCGGAGGCCAATTAGGGTAACGAACATGGATACGGCAAGAGAACTAGGGTAAGAGCAAGTAGTTCTGCAAGTTTTGAATGGGATACGGGGTGTGCATACCCCTATTCCTTTTTTTAGGGACAATCGAGCAGACGGGTCACCTACAACTCAAAAGTCACACGGCGTTGAACTGACGTTTGACGTTGACCTCTTTGAGTACCAGATCCAGAAGGAGGGGGTGAGAATAGTTTGGGCGCCGGTAACCACACTCACTGGGTGAAAAGTAACGGCAGAATTGGAATCGATTTTCTGTAAAGCTGTGGTATTTCTCCTGTCAATGATGCTACTGCATATATGGTCGAAATATGGCTCTCCCACGTCTTATCCCGTAGTTGGAAAGGCCACTAAAATATTAACATTAACTGGCCTTTTTGAGTGTCAAATGGCAAAATATACAAATACGATGTTACACCTGGCAGGGATGGGACTTAAAAGACTTAAAAGCCGAGACTGGGGATGCAAAAATTATGAAATTCGAAATCTATGGGTAGTCCATACGCAAAGATACTTATATATTTTTAATCGTTTATTTTGTATTTGTATTTGGAGCTTGTTCACGACAAGCGACAAGATTTAAAATTTCTGTCCTGACAACACTCAATTCGCTTAAAGAAAGTGTCACCGACTTGATTGCCGTGATCTGTCATGAATTCTAATAAACTGTATTCGTTATTGCTTAATTTGTACCGTTCTTGGTGGTTTTCTGCTTCAAATTTTAACTAGAACTAAATAGAAAGTAACTACACTCTTTCAAATGATAAAATATTTTTACAAATCTGTTCATAAATGACGGATTCCTGAATACACAAACAAAAAACAGCTGATTGGAGAACCTTCTCCTTTTTTTTCATATTGGTTAAAAAGTGTCACCTCCTAGGTTAAAAGCTAGATTCACCAAATCTTAAATTAGAAAAAAACACAGTGTTTATTGACGTATACGTCAACATACTTCTGCTGGTAACTATAACCGCGGGTAATCAAACGCCACCTACCTGATAATGTTCATTCTGTAGAATTTTGGTCCTTCACACGACGTAAATGAAACTCATTATTCTGAAACACTGGTCAAAAATAAGTTCCTTTGGTCAAAAATAATGCTTTTAAGCAGATTCCACATACGAAACTGACAGGACTCCCAAAAAACGTCACTGCAAAACCATGCAATCTACAGATACAAGATATATAATAAAAAACCAACACTTACAAATTGAGAAGCCGTTCAGTTATGATACCGTATCGAAATTGCGAAATTGTCGCTAGTGTCTTATTCTTTTTTGTAATCAAAATTTTATGTAGTGTTGTTATTTGGTACCGAGGAATGTATAAGAAACAGCCCACGCTTAGTAGTATACCGGAAAGGAATGAAAATGAGGAAGAACACATGGCAACAAAATGGGTTCCGAAGAAAAAGCACGATGTCCTCAAAGCAAAATACAAATGCTTAAAAAAACTTTTCCAAATTTATGACGCCAGCGTAATTGGAATACTTCCTGAAACATACGGACCGGAAACGTATCTAGAAGAGGAAATTCAAACAAAAAAGCGTAGAAAAAAACGTTCACATAGGACTAAAACTGATGCGTGTGCTGGAACGACGGAGATATCGAGTGGAGATGTGACGCAACAGTCAGTAGTGGATGATACCGAGAAAGAGTCGATCGCGACTGCCGTAATCAGAGACCTCAAAATAAAACATCAATCGTGTTCTTCAACAGCAGTGGAGAACGCTGCCACGCAGGACTCCAGAGAAAATTTCCACAACATCACAATTGATCAAGAATGTGAATGCACACAGACGAGTAACGAGCCTCATCCAATTCCATACCTCATGTTTAACGAGAAACGTAAATTAACTAGGTTTCAGAGCTTTATTCACAGAATTTTTGGCATTCGCCATGAAAGAGGATATAAGAACTATGTTTTACCCAACGGTCATGTTTACGCTGCAAGTGATAACAATATATCCCATTATAATTCTAGCGAAAAGCGAAGACGGAGAGGTTTAAGGTTCAGGAGGATGAGGCGGCCGAAAAAGATTCAGTCCGAGACTGCTCTCAGGGATATGAAGAGCCCAATCATATTAACATACGTTCAATCTATTCAGAGGAGTTGTTTGATGGACACCACGCCTCGACAGTGTCCAATCACCGGATGCTTAATGTTATCTTATGGTGAGTAGATCTAAATGTCAGATGTATCAACTTTTTATCTTATTGCGTTGGTGTTCCCGGCCATATTTTGCCAACTATGCAGATGTGAACTGTAGTACCAAATCTAAATAATTTTATTTATACCAATTATAGGTATTTTTGAATTGTCAGGAGTAGGTTGTATTGTAAGTCAGAACATAGTCGTGAGGCTGGTTGACTGTTCTCATGGTAGTTCGATCTTATAAGAACACTTAAGAAATACTTTAATATTTGCAATAAGAGTAATGCCGTTTATGTCTTCTCTTTCATCGTGTCCTTCCTCTCTTCGTAATGAAATTCATCGTCAATCATATGATTAATGATCATTAGCAGGTCTGGTTGGTTACCTTATTTTACCTTAACTAATACAAATATTTTTCAGGCATAATAAACTACAATGATCACCTAAACCTCTGCCACTTCAAGGACAGAAAATACATCTGTCATTACTGCCACGAAGGCTTCGAAAGAGAGTACGATAAATTACTACACGAAAACGAACACATCGGTATAACGAAACTGCCGCCAAAAGCTACCACACCTACAAGTGTAAAGCAGTTCCCTCAACAGAAGGCAAATGATACACAAACTGACTCTAACTTGATGAAATGCGATTTCTCAGAAGACAAATTAAAAAAGATCGTTTCGTTTTTCGAGAAAATAAACGACCCGGATCAAATTTTGACAGAGATGAAGAAAAGCAGGTTTTCCATGTCGAATTTGCAGACGGAAACGGCTGGTGATGGTTCTGATTCCAATTCAGACAAACGGACGGTTAGTTTGGTGAACCTTAATCGGAAAACAGATAGAGCGAAGTATTCGTCAGGTGAATCAACAGTGACGTCGAAGGGCATAAGTGTTACACCCATAACTTGCCACTTGTGTGGTGAACAATTTGATTTCAGGTGAGTCGAGATCAATCAATTTCAAACAAACTTTAAAGCCCTCGATTAGTGGACAGATATCGGTTTTGTAAGCCATCTTAAACTTTCTTATCAGCATTAAGATTTTCTCACGTTGCCTGTTTCTATACCGTCATACGAAAACGGTGCGCATCCCTGGTGCGCAGGGTGCTGGTCAGCTCCAACAGCATACTGATGATGATTGTGTGGCGATGTGGAGGAACGGGTGTCTTGTCCCTCCAAAACAAAGGGAGGATCCTCCGACCAGGCGAGGTGATCATGCCTGGCGGGCCGCGGCCCAACGTTTGATGTTGGGAAGCTATATATGCTAATCGGCGAGGGAATTCTTTATATCGCGATACAGGATTAGCAATTCTTATTTTAGTAGTTAGTCCGTAGTTCGGTGTGTCTTCATTAGATGGCGCTGTAGTATGTTTATGTGGGAGTCGCCACAATTGCGAGTAGATTAGATTGGCTATATATGACTTACTGCATCGGGGTTTCAGCCGCGCCTGTTACTGCGAGGCAATGAGTCTAACCTTAATTTATAAATCATACTAATATAGCTGTAAGTTCAAATTGTTACTAACATCTCTGAGTCTTAGTTACTCCAATAATTTTAATAAAATTTTAATTAATAATGGTTTGCAAGAAAGAGTAAGACGAGGCAGTTCAAACGTCAACTTATGTGGTCTGCTCTATTGTATTATATATTGGCCTAATTTTGCTCTGAGACTGGAAAAAAGTTTTGCGGTGGGCAAAAGTTTTCATATTTGACGTGAATCTGGATATGACTAACTGCCACGGTGGTGCAATGGCAGCCTATGCGATTGTTGTGCTGAGGTCTCGGGTTCGATTCCCGGGTTGGTCTGAAAATTTTAACTGCAATTTATAACATGCTTTTTAATATATACGTATCCAACGTAATATAATGCTGAATAGCTTGCAGGTGACATCTGGGGCGGTATACTATGGGGATCTTATGTCAACTAGGGTGAATTTCCGTGCGTTTAGGCGATTCTGCCATACTATATAATATTTTGTGGCCGTGGTGCTTCCCTGTTTAAAAGGGTGTATGCCCATTTTACTTCATTTTGTCTCCCGCTTTGCTAAGGAGGGAAGTGGATTTACTGTATTTCCAACTCCTCCAATTTTCTTCTGATTAATTTCGTTGCGGGTTCCAAGACAGTTTAATTTCTTCCTGGGACTTCCCGAGTGTCATAAATCGGTGTGTTCGTGGGTCCTTGCTGTGGATCCTGGTGTACAGGAGTTAGTGGTGGGCGTGTGGGTGGGATTAGTCCCATAAAAAAATACGTATCCATAGAATTTCTTTATATATTTTTTACTTAGTTTAAAAAAAAAAAATTAATAACCTATTCTCTGTATCGTATTAAACATATTATTTCATTCTCCACAGACGACAACTCAGTTTGCACGTAGATCTAGAACACCGTGTGCACGACAAGTTTTCAAAATTCCACAGTTGCGCCGGCATCCTTAACAGTCGACCTACGAACCACGTCGATATGATCTCCGAAGACGGCAAAATTAACGTCCAGAGCGTGGACCGATCCCACAGCGGGATGAGAAGGATTAACACATCGTCCACACTCACGCAAGAATCTTTTTCAGAAATTTCAAGGCGAAAATCTGATGAAAGCTTAAGCTACGACCCTTCAACCAATATAGTATATTATACATCACTGGAATCTGTAAAGAAACCTTCAGTCGTGAACAGTATCGTCAAAAAAGTAAGAACCGGCATTAACCCCTATAAGTGGGAACCGGGCACAAAAATTATTAGAGTGTAAACGTCTTGTCCATGTGATAGTGTATTGTAAAAGTCCGTGTAAAAGTCCTTTGTTTGAGTTATATTTCGGCTACCAAAGTCTTATATAGGTTTAATTTTGGTTTAGTGAAATTGTAAAAATCATTTAAGTTTCATTTGATAAAGATGCAAATACAGACTTCGGTCAGTGGCTGCTGTGTAAAACAATTTAAATGTGTATGATTTATTAACCACCTACCCGATACCAATGCAGAATTTTGGACATCGTTATTGGAATATTTCTTCTTCGCCGTTACTCAACTAGTCAACAACAACTCAAGGCAACGTTTCCATTGGCGTGAGTACTGGATGGTGATTTCGACATCTGTCCATCTTTACACAAAATTCATGTATCTAGAGCAGCGTTGTTTCAGCAAAGTAACGTTCATGAGCTGAGAAAACTATCACTTTCGTGATTACCGCGCAACTGTTGGAAACATTTGCAATGAACATTATAGTACCTAAATTTCAGGAAAACATTAACAGCGACACAGGTGAATTACTATGGTGTCACTGATACTGGCTTGGCCACCATCGTGGATTTTAATAAAATTGTCGCTAATTAGTCGTTTGTCGCCAAATATCAGAATTTTTAGGTCACTGGTTATACATAACTTTGGTTGCTTATAATAGTCTAGTCATTTAAGCTTAAATTAGGTAAGAATCTCGGAATTCGAGATACCCAGCTGTAAGTCTGTAAATACTTGTATATTGACACCGTAAAAGTTGTCTCAAAACCTACATATGGTAGGGTGTAAGCAACTATTAAATTTCAAGGTCAAAAGTCACAAAAATCGGTTTATTGCGCTTTTTTTTTAAATTATCTCATTTCCTATGGGTTTCTGCTATTTGTATTCATTAGCAATATTGTAGAATACAAAATTCTCTACAAATTTTGTTTAAATTTTTTTTTCATACGGTGAACCGTTTTCGAGATAGAGGGCGGAGAGCGCGCGGTCACAGCATCACTTCAGGTCAACCGGTGCCTCTGGTCGAAAACGCGCCATATATAGTTGATGAACTATCGATAAATCAATGATTATAAATATTTGTCAATTTTTATTAACTATTATATTATATTTTATCATTTTTTTCCTAACTTATCCACTTTTTATTCAGTATTAATTTATTTAACAACACTTACCTGCCCATGTAATTGCAGAATTGTTAGTGAAAATATATAATAATATATTTGAATTTTAACCTAATTAATATTAATACCTTCTTACATGATGAAAAAAAAACAAATAAATTATGAATTAATCTTTTTATTAAAAAATATCATTGAATACATTTATTTTTATTGAAAGTAAAAAAATGGAATAAAGGTTACAAAAACTAGAATTTATAATTTTAATCATCTTCTTCCTCTTCATCGTCGTCTTCTGGCTGCTGGTAAATTTCAAACTGGTCTTCATTATCGTCTTCAACGACATTTGTCTCAAGTTCTTCCATGATTTCGGGGTCAAAGGTTCCATCTTCGTTAATGTCGCTCTGATATGGTAGAGCATTGAGACAAGCTTGCCCATTACATTGGCCCCAAGCTAAAGAGCATTGCAAGCCCGCTTTCCTGCATCCGCATCGCGAACCACAACCACTCTTGCAGTTGCAGAAAATTGTATTTAGCAAATCTTCTGGAGCAGGTGGTAAAATTGTCATGATAGGCTCCAGAAAATCATTTCGCATTGTCCAACGCCATACCTGGGGTTCCAAATCATGTCCTAGCCAAGTTTGAACTTGATAATATACACGGTTGAAATGTTGATGAGCAGCTGCACTTGTTGGTGGAATATTTGAAAGCTGCACAGGTTTATTAAGTTTTGTAGACTTGACGTAATGCATATAACGAAGATAATCGAGACTTTTCACAGATTTCGGAGCATTATAAACTGCCAATAAGGTTTGAGTTCCACTCTCTAATAATCTCTGGGCCGAACAATTTTTATTTATAATCATTGATTTATCGATAGTTCATCAACTATATATGGCGCGTTTTCGACCGGAGGCACCGGTTGACCTGAAGTGATGCTGTGACCGCGCGCTCTCCGCCCTCTATTACGAAAACGGTTCACCGTATAAAAAAATTTTTAAACAAAATTGGTAGAGAATTTTGTATTCTACAATATTGCTAATGAATACAAATAGCAGACAGCCATAGGAAATTAGATATTTCCAAAAAAAAGCGCAATAAACCGATTTATGTGACTTTTGACCTTGAAATTTAATAGTTGCTTACACCCTACCATATGTAGGTTTTGAGACAACTTTTAGGGTGTCAATATACAAGTATTTACAGACTTACAGCTGGGTATCTCGAATTCCGAGGTGAACTTACTATAATGACTGGACTATAACTTTTGAACCAGTGACCGATAAAGTCTGATATTTGGCGACAAAGATTGACTAATAAGAGATTTAATATTAGTGTTCTCAAAATTAAAAGCCGTGATGGTGGCCAAGCCAGTGTCAGGGACACGTTACTATGCAATTCGACATTTTTTTATTTTTATTTATTTAACTTAATGCACAAGTCGTACACAGGCGGACTTAATGCCCAGGGCATTCTCTGCCAGTCGACCTTCGGGTGATGTAGAAAAATGATGCTGTAGGTGCAAGAGATAACAGAGGATTGACTCTTTTATATTAAATTTATTAAGATAAATCTAACTTACATACATATACTATAAATAAAATACTATATTCATTACTACATATATACATAGAGGTCTCAAGTATACACATACAATACATGAACATACACATTTATAAATACATAAATATCAAAATACATAGTCGGGTACTAGCGTTCGCCATCTAGCCATTTAGCGACATGTGTTCGCTAGATGGCGATGAAGCTGAATTCCACTTGTCGCCACTAGCAGCGGGCAGATCTGGATGCACACGATGAATTTCACAATATTTAAGTACGGATATGCGCCTTTTCCACTTATCCCCACTGGGAAGGAAACGTTACGCCAACATCTATTATCATTGTTGTTTACTCGAAGTATAAAATAAATAAATATATCGGACAACTGACACAACGCCATCTAGGTACAAATTAAGCAAGCTTACACGTTAGATTTACTGACAGAACACTTATTTCATGAATGAATTGTGAATTTTAATTTATTAATGTTACATTAATGTAACTACTTGAACATTTTTGTTGTTCAAAGACGAAAGAAATCCATGTATTACATGTATGTTATATATCTACGAATGATTTTAACTTGTGCTGACGATTTTAAATAGGTGTCCGTGGGCGACGGTGTCGTATTTAAAAAAAAGATTTAATTATTTAAAGCGAACGATAACTTTAATTCGTAACCGTACATAGGTGAGTGACGGAAGGGCAATGTTCCGAGCCGCGACCTTTGTGTGGTAAACAGAGGTGGAATACATACCGCTTGACAAGTAAATTAACGACACGCATTGTTCTGAAACTTGCCCCCAACAATTATTTTTGATTTAAAACGGTTTTCAACACTTACCATCAAGGGACCCTGCAGCTTGTGCGACCCTATACCAAAAGAGAAGCCTAAGGACTATTCCAGACTATAATTATTTTTACCAGAATTTTCATCCGGATTCGTTCAATTACATGATTGAGAAACAAACAACCTTTAGCGATTATAATTCTAAAATGATCGCAACTAAAGGGAATAAAATGAAACAACAAATAAAAAAACCACACGTTTATTGTAGTTGTTTTTATATAATATTTCTAACACACCCCACGACGATTCCGTGAGATCGCAACTGCAAATAATAAACTTTAGTATGGAAGCCACTTGTACCACTATGTTATAATCAAAATATAAATATGTTACAACTTATACTTAAAATAACGTAAACTTATAACTATTATATACGAGTTTACCAACGATATTTATAAACGGTTCAATGGGGAGGCATACATCGACTGTTCATTCGAAAAAATCATTAAAAGCCTATCAGTAATGCTCAGCTTTCAAATAATATTTAAAGGTGTCTTCATATTAGCAGTTAAATATTATAATCAATCTAAGATATATAAAAGTACCGAGACTGATGAATGGATGAATAACTTTCAAAATTAGAGAACCAAATCAAAATCCATTCATCTTTTTAAGAGATATGGTGCAACAGACACACACATGCGTTGAACTTATACCACCCCGTTGGCTTGGAGGGGGTGGGGTTTTTCGGTACATTTTACTGCCTGTGTTTATTAATAATATCATTACATTATAATCGAGTACATTTTTGCAGTTTTTTTTTCGAACAACAGCCGATGTCGCTTTAGAAGTTTTGTCTATCACTAACCGAGTAAACAAATAATAACACAAAACGGTTTAAAGAAAAACATCCTAAGCGACATTGTACTTTCTTAGTCTTTCGTTTCAGCTGCTCTTGTCGCCTAGGACCTTTCCATATTCAACCGATAACTGACGTAATAAAAGAAATTTTGAACAATCATTCCCCACTATTCTGAATATCGGTTCATTTTATAACGTTCATTACAAAATGTTAGGTAGAAAAATGAGGGTAGTTTTTAAATTTCACTTACAATGTATGTTCAAAGTACTCAATTTAGTACGTAGACAATTTAAATAGGTGTTCTAATCGTTTTTTAGATATAACAGACCATTGCAGGCGTAACATCAACTAGCTGTCGACAGTTGTATAAACTGTCAGACTAGTTTCGGACCTGATGGGGACCTTCTTCAAGGAGTAAAGCCCACCGTTTCCGTGTTTTACTTCAACCTTCACCGTTTGTATCTTTCGGACCTGGAATTAGACAGTTGCGTTTCTGTTGTGTCGTTATGTTATTATTAACAGACACTGTGATGCACAACGCGGTGTTTCACTTTTTAAAATCTGGAGATATATTTTCTAGTTAAAAAAAACGGCTCCATCCAGTCCGAATCTAGTCAGACATCCCTTAACATTATAAACATAATAAACGGTCTGTTTTATCTAAAAAGCCAACAGTCAAAC